CCGCTAGGGAGGTTAAATGTATTATTATTATATTATTATTTTTATGATTATTTATTAAATTATAATTTATGATTTTGTGTTTCAAGTTTTATCCTACCCGGAATGTTTACTAGACTCTTGTTCGGACAGATTTCAGTGAGTTATTCCTAAAAATTACAGGCCTACAATAAAAAAAATACATATTTCCATGCAAAAAAAGTACCGCTTTCAGCACAGAAATATGGACATAATCTTACCGCTAGGGAGGTAAGAAAGCAGCTGTGCACTAAAAAGGAACCATAAACCTTCTAAAAGACAACTGTAAAATATTTGTGCAGCGCTAAAAGATATTACTTGTGTGTAAAATTCCCTGATGCATGTAAGAATATAAAGGAGTATAAGTTCAAATGAACTGATAATTCAACTCTATATATGAATTAACTCCACATATAAATTATTCAAGTCCACATGTAAATGAATATAGCCAAGGCCCAGGTGACTTGATTAATCCCAGTTATGTATAATTCAAAAAGTCCGGTGAGGAGCAGGAAACAGATAAAATGCGCACTCACCAGGTGCGCAAAGGTATTGCGCAGTGTATTATATTATGTGGAGGTCTACCAGGAACCCCTCCTAGGGTGGTATTCAGGCTGGGGATCTGCTCTCCTCCTGCAGCTATCTCCATCCTGTCAACGCCCACACCAGCTCCAGTCTCACACCACAGCACGACACTGCGCCTTGTAGCCAAGCAGCCGGAGTGTGGTTTATGACTTTAAATACGGCTTCCTGCAGACACACCGACCAGGCATGTGACAGAGCAGCACTTCAGTCAGGTGACCGCTAGGGGCACTCACTCATTAGTAGCAATAGCCACTAGTTGCTTAAGGTCTTTAACTCCATGAGAAAGGAGGGTAGTTTGCCATTTTGTATGTGTGAGGCTCTTGTTTTGTTGCCCATGAGTGGGAAAGATACCAGGGAGTGTGACTCTTACTGTCCGTTCTCACTGATGAATGTTGATGTTAAAATTCTCGCTAAGGTGTTGTTCTGTAGGTTACAATCTGTTATTTTAAAGCTCATTAATATGGACCAAACTGGCTTTATGCCAGGTAGGTGTGCTCAGATGAACATTAGGAGGCTTTTTGTGAATTTACAGACTCAACATGAAAAAGCTGGTACACTGGTCATGGCCTCCATAGACACTAAGAAGTCCTTCAGCTCTGTGGAATGGCCATATTTATTTCTGTTGTTGGAGCATTTTGGATTTGGCCCATAGTTTGTGTCCTGTGTGTGTTTTTTGTGTATGGACCCTGTTTTGCGCATACGTATTACTGGTTTTATTTCTGATCCATTTTCCATATTTAGGGGGACCAGACAGGGGTTCCCTCATCACCCCTCTTGTCCCCACTGGCCATTGAGCCATTGGCTGCGAAAGTATGGGAGGATGCTAGAGTTTTAGGTTTCTGTATGGGTCAGTTGGAAGAATGTGTGTCTCATTATGCTGCTGACATTTTATTGTACCTGCAGGACCCAAGCCCTTCCTTAACTGCTGCCTTTTCAATGATTCAGGAATTTGCAGATATTTCCAGGTTTCTTATCAGTTAGTCAAAATCATCTTTATTACCTATTGATAATATCTCTGCCACCCAGGGGACCTGTCCCATACTGCTGTCTACCTCCTTCCCTTACTTGGGGGTGAAGGTACAACTGCCAGTCTCTAAATTCCTTCATAACAATTTCTTCCTGGTTGTGAAGGCATATAAGGAAAAAGTTAATTGTTGGCAAGCTTTACCACTCACCCTGATGGGGCTACTTAATTTATTTAAAATTATTTTCCTTCCCAAGTTCCTGTATATACTATCCAGTTCCCCAATATTTATCCCCAAAAGTATTTTCCAAGACATTGATTCAGTATTGGCACCTTTCCTACGGGAATCCCATGCCCCCAGATTGTTTTTGGCCACTCTGAAACTACCTGTTAGGTAGCTACCGGTGGTAGCCTCTAGCGTTCCACAGACCGGAATCCCCCAAGGCGGAATCTAAGTCCCAACCTGCTTGTTTACCAGGGCCCCTGATGGTGGGGATGGACTTGGAGCAGGCCATGACCAGGTCGCGGCCCCTGGGTTCACCCACCTGCGGTAGAAGCACCACTGGAGGTGTATAGCAGGTGAGAGCCTGATGTGAGGAGGTAACAAGAGCAGAGTCGGGCAGGCCGGGTCGGTAACGGTGGAGGCAGAGTGGTACAAAATCAGTAGGCAGAAGGATAAACAGGTCACAAGCCGGGTTCGGTAACAGGAGATCTGAACATGCAGGGTTAAGCAGGAGAATGGCAGATAAGCCAGGGATCAGAACAGGAGACAGACAGCAAATCAGGGTCGGCAACAAGGCAATCTACAATACAGGAACTCAGGATACAGGTAAGACCATACGGCAACTAGACACAGCCCTAACCTGTTTTAAATAGGGCATCCTGCACCCTGATTGGTGCTAGGCGTGCATCCGCAATCGCAAGTGCGCAGCTGCAATCACGGGTGCCCAGGTCCCAATGCTCGCACGCTAGTGCGGCTGGGCACACTGCGCATGCGCAAACCCGTGCGCGATCGCGGCCAGCTCTGGGGTCCCTGACACTACCACTAGATCTGGGGGTTTGGTGTTGCCTAATCTGCGAGGGTGTTATTTTGCTTCAGAATTAATTTACCTTCGCTGGTGTTTTTTCCCCCAAATTCCAACTGCAACGATTGTGGCAGAGACAGCGGCAGCCACTTCATATGAAGCGTTAACCAATTTACTGTATAGTAAAATGATCCCTGGTATGGGGGGGGGGGGATATGCACATACCTGGAAAGATTTTTAGTTTTTGTTCCTGTATTATATTGGATGTATCCCTCCTTAGGTCTCCCAACAACTCCCCTATGGTTTAATTTCTCTTTGAGGGAATTTTTTCAAACTGGACGGTGGGGCATCTTGTGCCCCAATATGAGATTAAGTGTACCCATCAGTTATTCTCAGGTGGACGCTTTTGTACATTTGAGCATTTATGTAGGGAAAATGAGATCCCACTGTGTTTTTAAGCACTGTCAATTATGGCATGCTGTGGCAGCTCAGTTTGGGGGAGGCAAAGTAAGGGTCAGAGACTTTTTTTCCCGCAGCAGATTGCAACACACGTAAGTGTGGACCAGGCCTTATTCCTTCTATCTCAACCTCATCTATCTATTCCAAACCTTCTCAATATGTTAAAACACTATCATCATATTTACAATCTTAGGATAAATTATAGCAAGTCAGAGGCCCTAAATATCTCCTTAACAACAGATTTTTTAAATAAAGCAAAACAAAACAGCTCTTTTAGATGGGTATCTACAGCGCTCAGATACTTAGGTATCTTGCTCACCCCAGGATTAGAGGATTTATATAAACAAAATGATGTACCCTTGATACAATGTATAGAAAAAGACCTCAAAAACTGGCATTTAAAAACCTTTTTGTGGTTTGGCAGAGCAGCCATTGTTAAGATAACAATATTGCCTAGACTGCTATATTGTATAAATGCACTTCTGATCAAACTATCCTCTAACGTTTTTAAAATGGCTACAACAAGCACAAAGAGCTTTTGTTTGGGTGAACAAAAAAATCTGCTTCCAACTAATAACAAATTTTAAAGATTATGGAGCTATGGACCTTCCAGATTTCAAAAGATACTATTACACAACATTGAGTACCAGAATTATTGATTGGAACTGCCATTCTAAAAACAAACATTGGGTTAATTTAGAACAGTTATATACTAAAACTACCATTGAGATTCTTGCCATGGATATCACAGACCTTCTACCCTAAACAATTAATGACACATCCTCTAATTGCTGCTATATTAGAAGCTTTTCACAACTTAGTCAAAGCTTATAGCATAGCTAACATCCCTGGCCCCACTAGCTAACAATCCAGAGTTTGTACTGGGCATGAACACAAACCTGACCCCACACACCAGGGGGTGTTTGTTTATTAGAAACATACTGTTTAAGCTGAGGGTCAGTGAAAATTAGAGGAGAGCTACAGGAATTCTGTGGGAATTTGAATATCCCATATTGGACATATTTTCAAATACTCAATTATTTACCAAATCATAAACAAAATATTTTGTTCTCCAAACCTCTTACAGAATTGGAAAAAATATGTCTTAAGGGGTCTAACATATGTAAAACCACCTCTCTGGCTTACCCATGGCTCCAAATAAAAAACATAATGAATACCAGGATAATTTTAAATCACTCTGGGAGAAAACTCTAGATACAAAATTTACTGAAGACCAATGGATAAAAGCATGTATACTCACACATAAATGCTCCAGCAGTGCTTGTTTGCAAGGAACCTCATATACGATATTAACGCAATGTTATGCCACACCAGTTAAGTTAAAGAGGTGGTTTCCTTAAATGACCGATACTTGCTGGAGTAAATCTGGCAGAGGTACAGTGATTCATATTTGGTGGCATTGCCCAGAGATATCCATTTCTGGAATCAAGTATGTGACTTAATTTATAGAATTGCTGAAACTAAAATTAAGCTAACACCTGCTTGTTGTTTACTACATATGTCTACATATTCTCTTAAGCAATAAAAACAGACCCTATTGAGACATCTTTTAAATGCTACAAAAACATTAATCCCAAGGTTTCGGAAAGCTACACAAATTCCATTAATCCACGACTGGATTTGAGAAGAATTTGTGCACGAGATGGAGAAACTTTAACTATGACAGATAGAGATGAGCGAATCGAACCTGGAGAAGTGGAATTCGTTTCGAATATTAGGAAAAATTCGATTCGCGTCGAATCCGAATATTAGCAAACTTCGGATGCACGAATCGAATTTTCCCCGATCCGCCGATTTTCATCCCTTCTACAGCCGGCAAAAAGTGTCCCTGCAGAGAGCTCCGCTATTTCTGACAGTTCTCTGACAGTTCCTTCACATTTACAGCAGTTGAAACATTGTATCTATTTGTTTCCATTTAGGATACAGATGTTTTTATTCAGAAACAAATAGATACAATGTTTCAACTGCTGTAAATGTGAAGGAACTGTCAGAGAACTGTCAGAAATAGCGGAGCTCTCTGCAGATACACTTTTTGCTGGAATGGAATTCTTCTTCATCCTCATCCTACTTCTTCTTCTTCTTCTTCTTCATCCTCATCCTACTTCTTCTTCTTCATCCTCATCCTTCTTCTTCTTCTTCTTCTTCATCCTCATCCTACTTCTTCTTCTTCTTCTTCATCCTCATCCTACTTCTTCTTCTTCTTCTTCTTCTTCTTCTTCTTCTTCATCCTACTTCTTCTTCTTCTTCTTCTTCATCCTCATTCTTCTTCTTCTTCTTCTTCTTCTTCTTCATCCTCATCCTACTTCTTCTTCTTCTTCTTCATCCTCATTTTTCTTCTTCTTCTTCATCCTCATTCTACTTCTTCTTCTTCTTCATCCTCATCCTACTTCTTCTTCTTCTTCATCCTCATCCTACTTCTTCTTCTTTCTTCTTCTTCTTCGTCCTCATCCTACTTCTTCTTCTTCTTCATCATCCTCATCCTACTTCTTCTTCTTCATCCTCATCCTCATCCTACTTCTTCTTCTTCTTCATCCTCATCCTACTTCTTCTTCTTCTTCTTCTTCTTCATCCTCATCCTACTTCTTCTTCTTCTTCTACTTCTTCTTCTTCATCCTCATCCTACTTCTTCTTCTTCTTCTTCTTTTCATTCTTCTTCTTCTTCTTTTCATTCTTCTTCTTCTTCTTTTCATTCTTCTTCTTCTTTTCATTCTTCTTTTCATTCTTCTTCTTCTTCTTTTCATTCTTCTTTTCATTCTTCTTTTTCTTCTTCTTTTCATTCTTCTTCTTCTTTTTTCATTCTTCTTCTTCTTCTTTTCATTCTTCTTCTTTTCATTCTTCTTCTTCTTTTCATTCTTCTTCTTTTTCTTTCCATTCTTCTTCTTCTTCTTTTCATTCTTCTTTTCATTCTTCTTCTTCTTCTTTTCATTCTTCTTCTTCTTTTCATTCTTCTTCTTCTTCTTTTCATTCTTCTTCTTCTTCTTTTCATTCTTCTTTTCATTCTTCTTCTTTTCATTCTTCTTCTTCTTTTCATTCTTCTTCTTCTTCTTCTCATTCTTCTTCTTCTTCTTCTTCATCTTCTTCTTCATCTTCTTCGTCGTGCCCCGTGACTGCCCAAATGAGTGAAGTGTGCGGTGATTCTAAGATCGACGGCACTCATCTGCATGTCATACTGACTGACAGTATTATTTCTCTTCCCCAGCAGACTCCAAGGGCATTTAAATTAAAGGTACAGTGTTCTGCACTAATATAAAGGCTCTCTGAAGCCTAGAAAACCCTTTTAATAAGTTAAATTCGCAGCGAATAAATTCGCATCGAATCAAATTTATTCCGCAAATTCGGCGAATCAGCCGAATCTAATTTTTGAATAATTCGCTCATCTCTAATGACAGACGACAGGGTAACCAGATATCATAAAAATTTGGTCAGACTGGTATAACTTCACTTTTACTGAATTATACAAGACCCTGATAACTGTTTAAGTGGCTTATGAATATACTGGTTTTGGCAAAAACTGCACGTAAGATAATTTTTTATAACCTTATTGGTTAACGGGTTTAACACTAACTTTACCAACTTTGCCCCATTATAGATTCACTACATACTTGTACATTTTGTTACTTTTGTTGTTTATATCCATTTGTGATATTTATGCTCATAAACTATAAGAGTTACAAATATTTTTGCAGATGTTTTTGAAAAAAGAACATCACTCTAAGATTGTTATACTTTTACACTGAATACGGATTGTAATTTACTGATCCTTTGTTTCATTGTAATTTTCTAAAAATAAACTTTAACTGTTTTAAAAAAAACATTTTTGCAATTAGAAATTTTATACTAACTAGTACAAAATGTTAGAGAGCATCTGTGAAAATCCTTTGATTCCCTTTATCTCTTTACTAGTATCAAAGTAGTACAACAGCCTTTTTTCCCTTTGCATTTTCAGATAGCTTGTTCAAGGGTTGGAACTTTTGGCTGTCTGCACCTCCCAGTAAAAATCCTGTCACTTCCTTAGGGACACAGACAACAATATAATAATCCTGATAAAGGCTCTAACCTTTCCTAACACCAATAAAATAGTACTTTTATTGCTGTCTGTGTCTGCTGACACTTTTAATGATATCTTTCATCACAACACAGAACATTGGGGGAAATATAGCAGAATATAGCAGCAAAAACAAAAAAGAAGCTCTAACCTTTCCTTACTCTATCCAAAACTAGAAAGGTTTTGGCTGGAATTACATTTTAATTAGGGTCATAACATATTTCATTTAAAAGTTCATTTTTTATCCAGGAAGGTGCATTATTAACTGAGCATTTGTGAGTAAATAATGTTTCCAGATCAGCACACTGTTTCCCATGTGTTGACATTTAAAACATTTAAAACATTTTTTATTTTGCCTAGATACGAACATCAAGAGTGAAAGTCTCTCTCCATCTCAGCAGCTTGGTGTAAAGTTGGTTATCAGGTAAATTGTTTTTTTATCATATAATCCTGTATGCTCTCCTCCTTTCCCATTATATTCCAGACAGTTTTATAAAATTACAGCAGTTTAATGATATGGAAGTTGCAGTTCATAAAAATAACAATTTTACAGGATTTAAAAGTAACAATTTAAATGTAAACAGGAGGAATGCAGCGTTGGAGGTTGAAGGGCTGGTTCACAGCAAAACTTAGTGTAGGAAAGGCATGTTCTGTGTGAGTTTCCCACACCGCAGATGAATGTATGTGCATGCGGGTGCCAATGTTTTGTTAGTGGCACCCCAAATGCAGATTGCAAATGCAGTGCATTTGTGGGCACCAAATGGCATGGTACCGTGGTACAATGTGGATTGGTATAGTGCATTTGTAAAATTAGTGCAAGCACTACTTTTCCATGGTCCAGTGACGTTTGCAGCTCACTGAAATGAATAGGCTGTCAAATGCACTGTATGGATGCGTGAATGTACTGTATGTATGGGTGCAATCCTGGAGTGAACCCTAAAGAAAAAACATTTCCCTTCACAGAATTCCGCTACAGAGAAGCATTGGGGTTGATTTACTAAAGACAAACACACTGTTCACTTTGCAAGCACATTTTTCCTTAGCTTGGTAAATGTGGGGAAAGAATACCTAATCATGTGCAAGAAAAATTAAAAAAACAGCATTTTTGCTGACACATGATTGGGTTATGGAAGTAAGTAGAACTTCACCTCAGTCACTAACCTCTGGGGATAATTCCCTTACAAAGCGCAATTTACCTTGAAAAGTGATCAACCTATTTGCCTTTAGTAAATCAACGCCAATGAACCTATCTGTCCAAAACCACTTACTCTGGAATTCATGAAGACTGGCGCAGGCAGATTTGTGAAAGTGTCTGCATTGTAAAAGCGGTGAAGAATGCACCAGATTGATATAGCTGTCTAGAACTTGAATTTGGCTCATGCTGCACCACTTTTAGAATGCTGTGGTTTTACTGTAAATGTGTGCTGTTTTTACTCAGGTGAATCTGCTTTGTTCTCTCTCTGGAACGGAATGTGCCCAGAGAGAGAAGATTGCATCATTTATAGGCCAGGGATCAATCAGGAGATCCAGGCTGAACATCACTGATCTGAATCTGCTGATTGATCAGTCAGGCACCGATTCACGGCACTTCTGGGTTGGTGGGCGAACACATGCCCCCCGGTCCGCGATCATGGTGTGAGAGCGCGAATCATGTATGTATATGTGATTTTGCACAGGCAGCCTGCCTTGTAGCAGTAATTCTGCTATAGGGTGGAGCTAAAGCAGTTAAGGAGCAGGGCCCTCCTTTCCCTCTTGTATTGAAGTGTATTGTTGCTGTATTGTCTCCCGTTATATTGTAAAGCGCTGAGCAAACTGTTGGCGCTATATAAATCCTGTATAATAATAATAATAGTTAGCTCCACTTTCACATTTGGCGCATTCAGTGTGACACAATGTGAAAATAGTGCATTTTAGAACTACCTGAATTTGGTGCGCAAGTCAGTGTCAAAACCAAAAGTGTCGCAAAAGCTTCATGAAATTGGTGCAACACATTAACAAGAGGGATTAACACCAGAAAAGTGTCATAGCAGCTTTATTGAATTCCCTTCATACTGTTTTTTGGGGTGCACATGAGTATAATAGTTCCTGGGATGCAGAAGTGTTGAAACATGCAGCACTCCTGCTGGCCTTTCCCTTTTTTTGTGGTGTCTCTGCAGGAAGATCGTAGTCATAAAAATTCAGATAAAAGCTGGTAACCCTTGGTTCCTAAAAGATGCATATCTCTCCTTCAGTCACTTGATGATGCTGTGCATATAGAAATTGTAAGATATACAGTACCAGTAGGAAAATGCTACATCCAGGAGATGCAAGGATGCTCAAATACATATAACTTCCTTCATCGCAGCAGAGAGAATCCAAAAATCATGCCACAACTCAGTCTGGCTGTTAAAGTGATTCTAAAGGAAATTTTTTTTTTTTTAATAACAAACATGTTACAATTACCTGCTCTGTGCAATGCGTTCGCACAGAGCAACCCTGCTCCTCTTCTTTTTGGGTCCCCCACTGGCGGTCCTGGCTCTCCCCACCTCCTGCGTAATGTGCCCATTAGCAAGCCTCTTGCTAATGGGGACACTCAAACAGATATACTCCTGAGCCACACGCTGTGTGGCCATTAATGCATGCAGACAGGAGGGTGTGCTTAGCTGAGAAAGTCCCTCTACCCCTCCTGAAGACTCCTGGGATGTATTACATCATTTGCCCTGGCACCAGGGGCGGACTGACCATTTGGAAACTGGGGTACTGCCTGAGGGCCCAGGGTCAGTAGGGGGCCCCATGAGATGCCCCTGGTACCTTTTTCATAAACTTTTTTGAGTTTGGGCAAGGACACAGGAGCCCCATGATCTCCTATTGCCCGGGGGCCCCATGAGTTGTCAGTCCGCCCCTGCCTGGCACAGAACCTAGGAAGTAACTAAAGAAATGTAAAAAAAAACTGTTTAAAAACAAGTAAATTGAGTATACTTTACTATTTATTTACTAATGCTAGCATTATAAGGATTCAAAATAGTCATATTTTGATTGAGAGAGTGAAGTTATGTTTTAAGGTAAAAAAAAAGCCTTGAGCCTTTAAAACCGCTTCCACGCTGCCCTATAGCAAAAATACTGGCTCGGGTGCGCAAAATCACATATATGTGCGTGATTTTGCAGTTCCAAGTAGGGAGCACACTCCCTATCCGCACCGCCATTCGTGGCCTTAGCTGTCAATCATTGGGTCCCGTAATTCCCCGCCGGCACCCTGTGATCTCCGAGGATTTCTGACAGCGGAGAGACCTGTATG